ATCATGCTTTGTTCCATTTTTCCATAGCCCCCATTTGGTTTCATTTTTACCCTCCGGAGCAAGGTAGCTACATTAAATACGTGTCAGCAGAAAGGGAGATACCTGTGAATTCTGTGAATTATCTTTTGCCCCAAAGGATTGTATCTTACAGGATACACTATAACAAGACCAGCCTTTACCTTCTTTCTGCTCATTTTCAGGAGGTTATACTGGTAACAGAAGAAGACTTGAGAAAGTGGAAACGACAGGAGAAGTGAAAGCAAATGTGTTCCTTCTCAAGCAGTCACTGTGGACCACAAAGAAAAAGGAAGAGGAACAGAAGGCTGATAGAGGAAATAGTTTTGGTACTATTTTTAAGTTATACTCTTAAAATGTTTTTACTAACAAGAGCATCATATTGGTTATTTTATTATGTTGACTTTATTATGGAAGATTAAGAAATTCTAGTTTAAATTATTTAATGCAAAAAGAAATAACGTTAAGTCAAAGTTACCTGAGAATATGAGTCACTAGCAACATTTGAAGAACAAGAAACGGATATGAGAAGCTTTCACGGAGAGGTGGTGTCCACATTACACGGGTACACTGAAAAAAAAAAATTCGTAGTATAGTACACTTGCTAAATTTACTAAGACAGACATTCCAAGGAAAGATTGCTATTTATAAATAAAATAAAATTATTTTTAACAAATCATTTAAATGGCGTGTTGTAAAGCGAACTACTGGGCTATTCCACAGACAGCAAAACTAGCGTGTGAGAAATGACTGACAGAAGCATGTAGCTTAAAAGATCAGGTAAAAACATCCAGTATCATCAATTATCCAGCAAGAAAATACCAAAAGATGCAACTACATCTTAAAAGGGAGAAAGTACCAGCAGAAAATGTTCTGCCAAATTTCAGAATATTTTGAGTTGATTATTTATCTATTGTTTGTCTTCTTTCCCATGAATTTCAGCAAAACTATCCATAACCAGTACTTGAGAACTCTTTGTAGTCATCAATTTTAGTATTTTCATTCACAGTGCTGCTACAAAGAATATTCCATTTTGGTTTTACTTTTTGCCTAAGCTCACTTAGTTGCAAAATATTTAAAAGTAGGTGGTAGAATCAAATTAAGTAACAAAAGTCCTAAAATTGTTAAGCATAAACCTTTCTGAAAAGCTAACTTTAGGCATAATTAAGCAATGTACTATCACAGTTATAATAACGTCATTTTCTGTATATGCTAAACATATTAGTAATTTCATCCTTCCATCAACAGAAAACAGCATAGAATTAAATACAAGCAATCTGATATTATTAGAAGTCACACTAAAATAATGATGTCTGTGCAAACGAAAGTATCTAAAAGACTCCACAGAATGACAAGATATATCAGAAATAAGTGTTTCCTATATTTTAGCTCTACCTCAGACCACTGAATATTTCTAATACTGCTATAGAAAGACTGAGCCAATTTACTCTTTTCTACCAAGCTCACCATCCTTTATGAAACTGACATACATATCTATTTATGAATGAACTACTCCCTGAGGAATGCTGAAAAAGATTGAAAAGGTCTGCCGATAATGTATAATGTTATTACTAGAATGCAATTTTTAAAAGCTGTTTATTAGATTAACTGGAAGAGTTCAGTATGATTTGACAGTAAGATCATGGGCAAACTGCGTTTCATTGCCCTTTACCATAGCACACAGATAACGTCATATTACAAATTGAAGGTTTGTATGGCAACCTGCATCAACAAGTCTATCAGTGCCATTTTCCCAATAGCATGTGGTCACTTCACGTCTCTGTCACGTTTGCAGTAATTTTCACAATATTTCAACCTTTTTCATTATTACTATATCTGCTATGGTGATCTGTGATCAGTAATCTCTGATATTACTATTGTAATTAGCACAGGTGCCTTGAACCACGCCCAATAAGATGGCCAACTTAATGGATAAATGTGTGTGTTCTAACTGCTCACACCGATCAGCCCACTCTCCATCTCTCTCCCTCCCATCAGGCCTCCAAATTCCCTGAGACGCAACAATATTAAAATTAGGAAAACTAATAAGCCTACAAGGGGGCCTCTATGTATTCAATTAATAGAAAGAGTTGTTCATCTCTCACTTTAAGTCAAAGGCTAGAAAAGGATTGAACTTGAAGTGAAGAAGGCACGTCAAAATCTGAAAGGCCAAGCTGAGCCTCTTATGCCTAACAGTCTGGAATGCAACAGAAAAATTATTGATGGAAATTAAAAGTGAAACAACCTTATTGCTGATATGCAGACAGTTTTTAATGTTCTGGATGGAAAGATCAAACCAGCCACATTTCCTTAAAGTCAAGTCTAATCCAGAACAAAACCCTAACTCTCTTCAATTCTATGAAGGCTGAGAGAGGTGAGGAAGCTGCAGAAGAAAAGTCTGAACTAGCAAAGGTTGGTTCATGAGGTTTCAGGAAAGAAGCCATCTCCATAAGATAAAAGTACAAGGTAAAACAGCAATGCTGATGTAGAAGTTACAAGTTATCCAGAAGATCTAATTAACATAACTGAGGCAGGTGGCTGCACTAAACAACAGATTTTCAGTGCAGATGAAAAAGCCTCCCCTACTGGGCCAAGATGTCATCTAGGACTTTCCTAGTCAGAGAGGAGTCAATGGCTGGCTTCAAAATATCAAAGGACAGGTTGTCTCTTGTTAGGACCCTACTTGCAACCAGTGACTAACTTGAAGCCAATATTCATTGACCATTCTAAAAATCCTAGGACCAGTAAGAATTACCTAAATCTACTTTGCGTGATCTACAAAAGAAAGACAACAAGCCTATATGACAGCACATCTGTTTTAGCATGATTGACTGGATATTTTAAGCTCATTCTTGAGACCTACTGCTCAGAAAAAAGATTCTTTTCAAAATATTATTGCTCGTGACAATGCACTTGGTTACACAAGTGCCGGGTGGAAGGCGGATGAAGTGATTAATGTTGGTTTCATGCCTGCTAACACAGCATCTATTCTGCAGCCCATGAAGCAAGGAGTCATTTCAACTTTCAGGTCTTATTATTTAAGAGGTATGTTTCATAAGGCTCACAGTGCCACCGATGATTCCTCTGATGAGTCTGGGAAAATGAAATTTAAATCCGGAATGGATTAACTATTTCAGATACCATGAAAATCATTTTGATTCACGGGAGGAGATCAAAATATCATCATTAATAGGACTTTGGAAGAAGTTTATTTCAACCCTCATGGGAGACTTAGATGGGCTCAAGACTTCAGTGGAGGAAGTAACTGCAGATGTGGTAGAAATGGCAAGATAACTAGAAGTGGAGCCTGAAGATGTGACTGAACTGCTGTAATATCATGATAAAACTTAAAGGATAAGGAGTTGCTTCTTAAATGAGCAAAGAAGAGTGGTTTCTTGAAATGGGATCTACTACTGGTGAAGATACTGTAAACACTGTTGAAATTACAACAAAGTTTAGAATACGACATGAAACTTAGTTGCTAAAGCAGTGGCAGGGTTGAAGGACTGACTCCAATTTTGAAAGTTCTACTGTGAGTAAAATGCTATCAAACAGCATCACATGCTACAGAGGAATCTTCCGTGAAAGAAAGAATCAATCAACACAGCAAATTTCATTGTTATCTTATTTTAGAGAATTGCCACAGCTATCCCAATCCTCAGCAACCCATCTGTCAGTACAACAAAGGATTTAGAATACGACATAAACTTAGTTGCTAAAGCAGTGGCAGGGTTTGAGAGGACTGACTCCAATTTTGAAAGTTCTACTGTGAGTAAAATGCTATCAAACAGCATCACATGCTACAGAGGAATCTTCCGTGAAAGAAAGAATCAATCAACACAGCAAATTTCATTGTTATCTTATTTTAAGAAATTGCCACAGCTATCCCAATCCTCAGCAACCCATCTGTCAGCAGCCGTCAACGTCAAGGCAAGATCCTCCATTTGAACAACTTGCTGAAGGTTCAGATGATCATTGGCAGTTTGTTTGTTTGTTCATTTGAGACAGAGTTTCATTCTGCCGCCCAGGCTGGAGTGCAGTTGTGCAATTTCGGCTCACTGCAGCCTCCGCCTCCGGGGTTCAAGCGATTCTCCCGCCTCAGCCTCCTGAATAGCTGGGACTACAGGCACCCTCCACCACACTCGGCTAATTTTTTTTGTATTTTTAATACAGAAAGGGTTTTACCATGTTGACCAGGCTGGTCTTGAACTCCTGGCCTCAGGCGATCCGCCTGTCTCAGCCTCCCAAAGTGCTGGAATTAGCAACTTATTTTTAAATTACAGTATGTACATTGTTTTTTAGACATAATGCTATTTCACACTTAACAGACTACAGTACAGTGTAAACATAACTTTTATATGCACTGGAAAACCAAAAAGTTTGTATGACTTGATTTATTATGGTATTCACTTTATTGCCCCAGTCTGGTCCTAAACCTGCATATCTCTGAAGTATGCCTGTATGATCAAAATTTGTAAAGCCATCAGTCTCTGTACAAAAACAAGTATTCAAACAAGCAAGTATTCAAACTATGCAATGTGCAGTTTAAGAATTTTCTTCATACAGACGTTTCCCCCACATTTGTTACCCACATTCAATGACATTATCCTCTCTCAGAAATTTGTCTCATTTAACAGCTAAAGTCACTCAGTTCACCAAAACTGAATTACATCCTCTGAAAGTAGGGACAAGAAAACCCAATTACAGGACTGTAATGAAGGGCAAGGTCTTCTCCCTCCAAAATTCTGAGTGCATGAAATCAAATGTCTATGAAAGTGCTTTCTATTGTTTCTCCAATAACATAATGTGCTTCACTAGATCTGGTACAAACATAATTGCCATTTCAGATGATCCTATATAATTTGAAAATAGTGAAGAGATTTGATTTAGTCATGCCTTACGTTTCAACAAGTAAATATTTTTTCTTTATCTCTAATTTTAAATGTAAAATAAAAATAGTGTGACAGTTTAAAATGTCAACGCTTTTTAAACGCATTATTTTGAAATTTGAGAATTAAAGGAAATATACATGTGAACTGCTTCAAAAAAGGGTTATACAAATGTATGTTATCTTTAAGTACAAGAAATTCACTTACTGTGAAAATAAATTCAATAAAAATCTTAATTGCATAAACTGCAATCATCTAGTATATAATTTTTAGCACACATTTCATAACACTGATTATATTGCAACATAATACTGTGTAGATATTAACAACAGGCTTTTATTTTCTGCTTAATAATTTTTAATCATTCACTCAAGAATCAATAACTAAGGAATCTCAAAAACAGGTTAATTTTCCAATCTCTATTTTCAATCTATTAACTTACAATATTGGAAATACAGCATAATCTAATTGATTTATCTTCATAACTTCAAAATAAATAGAAGAACAACTGACTAGTGAGTCATAAATTGTGGTTAGTATTAGTATCAAACACATCATGTTTAAGATTTATTCCAAGAGTTTTTACTAGAGTTACTATTTGCTGGATCAATCCTAACTTGCTACTATAATGTTTAGGTTTAAAACAAATTACCCACCTCTGACTGCTGCTTTTCTTTATTG